ATCACGTTTTTATTTGTTCGTAAAGCATCTTTGAGTGTCCAAAAAGCACTATATAAGTCCAGTGTATTATTATAATGATTAAAGTTTGTGTAATACAGGATCTTTAAAGGTGACATTACTGAGGATTTTTTACAAGTGAAAAAATATATTTTGGTTTGCTACACCATTGGTAATGATCCTAATTATTCATTATTCTGAAATTCTTGAATAGCTATCTGTGGTTTTGTTTATGTAGCTTTATCTGAATGTCAATAATTGTGAATAATCATAAAATAGTTGATATCGATTAAAGTGGCTGTACCTAATCTTTTTCCATGTATTTAAGCAACATTTATTTTGCCCTAGCACACATATATTGTAAAAGGGGCTTTTGCAGTCAAAATGAGACCACTGTGTTGTGTATGCGTTGCAATTTATTGTTAGTTACTTGTTAGTATTGGCGTGATGCGTGAGGAATAACTGAACTTCTGCAAATCATTCAAATTAAATTAGTTCTGCTTTTGCATTTTAAAACAGTAATAAAATCAGGTGTAGTGCCTTCAAAGCCTATTTCTGAATCCTCATTTATCTTGCATATATTTTATACTTTTTACTATACTACTGATCTTGTTCTTTGCGTTGCAGCACTGAAATTTCCTCACTGTGGGACACATATAGGTTCTTTTAACATTACTCAACCCCTTCTGCTTAGAGTCGAAATGAAACGTCTGATTTTTTCCCTTCGCTTCAACAACAAATAGGAAAATAATACACAATCAGTGCTAATGATTTATTCAGTTACTTCCAGGAAACCCCAGTGAAGTTAATAAGTAATTGGTGAAAGAGGAAATACCCGTTTACAGTCCATGGTGAGGAGTGATTGATTAGACTGTACTACGTGTCTCTCAGTACACAAATGACCTCAGGACTCAGCAGCTCGGCCGGACGGAGCTATCTCATGACATTCATTCATGTAATGCTGCCAAACAAAGTGAGAGCCTGTGATGGATAGAGCTATGTAAGATCAAGCGTGTCCAAGAGGAGGATAATGGTGGCTCTGTGCCTCGGTGAACTGGCTGAATGACATCATCAGAAAGAGACGGGTGGAGTGGTAATATGAAAAAATGCATTTCACAATTTCTTAGAAAGTAAAGTTAAGGTCAGGTTAAAAGTATGCTATGTAACTTTTCTAGTGGAGGGTTGACCACTAACCTGTCTCCATGGAGATATTATTGCTTTGTCTGGAATGTTCAATACTATGGCATCAAACTTCATGTTGCATTTATTTCATTACAGGTGTTTGTGTTGCTCAAAAACAGTTCACCTTTACACAGTCTACACAGATCTGACCAGTAAATTAGACTTGTAACACCACCTCACCTGCTTGTCCACATGGAAATGTAAAGGTTTTATGCCATAATGTGGAATATTCCAGTGCACAGTGCACCTTTAGTTGCTTATGACAGATGCTGTCCAATAATAAAATATATAATTGTGATTTTTATTACTGCTGTAGTCAGCTACAAAAATATTATGAAAATATAATTAATTAACTTATGTTCGTGTTGTTCGGTCTACTGCAAAACCTGGACCAAAGCCACACTGATCTACAGTGGCTTTGGACTTTGGAACAATTATGACAAAATGCACACATTTGCAAACACTGTCAAAAAAGTGTCTTTTTAGGTGTTTGATTTTCAACAAAAACATTGAGTGTGACTAACTGAAAAACTGCTGGCTAATGCTAGCTCTTCTGTTGTAGTTCCAGCTAAAGCAGCTATTTATGGTCAGATTGTGTTAAAAGAAAGCTTATCTTGCAGTCTAACTTGAGTAACAGACATTCAGACAGAGCAGTGCCTCCAGTTAGCTTCATACCCCCATGTTGAAGACATCAGCTGCAAAGTATTAGCATGTGTCACATCAGCTGTCCATGCCCAACCACGAAGTCAAATGATAAACTTACCCAAAACTGTCTAGGAAAATCTAGGAGCATCTTAAATGGAACAGATGAGTGTGTTAGTAAAGTGTGTAGTCTAGACTCTAACCTGTCAAATGCACTCTGAGGTCCTGAAATAAATATTACTGAATGCAATTAAGCCTCAGGAGAACAGCTGCACCCACAGAACATTAAACTGATATCCCCCAATTGTTTCCACTAATGATGTCTCCATTTGCACATGAGTCCCAGAGGAGAACTTGAGTTGTAAAACAGACAACAAAACACCACACACCTCCCCGACAACTGTACACAGTGTCCCTATGAGGAGCCTCCTCCCATAGCTGCACCCTATAGTTTACATGCACACCAAAAACATGAACATTTTCTCATTCCTGGAATTGACAGATTATTGGACAATCCATCCCCAGAATTCTTTTTGTATCTAGAGATCGACCGATATGTTTTTTTCATGTCGATACCAATTGTTTAGAACCAGGGCAATTGATAACCAAATAATATGAATTCTTAACCTTTTTTTTTTACCTTGTAACATTAAAGTTAGTTCAAATGAAGCTAAATGGTCTCTCCTTTAGAAAGGTGATCTAAAGAAACAACATATCAGCCTACGCTTGAAATTTAAGGCAGGTTGCCAATATGCTTAAAAGTGCAAATATGTGCCCAATACATCAGTCTATCTCTAGTTGCATCTGTATTGCTGGTAGTTTTGAGATATTAGGGTCTTAATAAATCTTAATAAATCTTAATAAAAATACATAATATACCTTATATATATAATAAAAATGTATAAAAGCTATTCAGAAACTATAATACATGAATAATTCAATTTTAAGATTATAACCCTAAAGGTACGAGTTACATCTGATGAGTAATAATATTTCTTTCTGATTATACACATCTGTGCTGGTTTGGACAAGGAAAATTATACAAAAAAGGGCAAACTAACATGGCAAAAACAACAATGTTAAGATTGAAAGAGTTATTTTAAAATGTATTGTACTTCAAAATACAGCAGTTACTCAAAAAATCCATTGATTAACTGACACATTTGTTGTAATGATCAGCTTTTTCTTGTGCTGTAAACACACACCAAAATCTTATCTAATTATTGGGTTATCTGATTATTCTAATAATCTAATCTGGCCGTGTAAACGTACCCATTGACCCTGCTACCAGAGCCATTGAGTCCTTTATGACTTACGTGTCATAAAGGAGTTGATTTTTTTTTCCCCCTCCTGCTTTGATCCAGTAATGCCTGAAATACAACTTGCTAATGTTTAAAAATTTTAATTAAGTTAAATGTGTCATTAAGAATATGCAAATCAAATTAACCCATGTTCAGAGGCAACAAACAACATTTTAATAGTCTTTTTGTATTAGAATCTAGTAAGTAAAGAGCTGTGGGTGGGGATAAGGGGTAGATATAAACGGCAATTCTTTGAGCACTCATGTCAAAAATGCAAGACAATACAGGATTACTCTGAATCAATTCTAAAACTCTGGTAAGCTAATAATGAGGAAAACCATTTTATCATGATTTAAAAAAGCTTTTAAAAGTCAATTAACAGCCAGTCAAGCTATTCAAAATTCCTGCGCAATTACTTGGAAAGAGAAATAATCTTATCTTAGGTCATAATGCAACAAAAGTGCTATTAAACTGAGAGTAACATTTAGAGAAATTCCCCGGAAAGTCTGAATTCAATGAGAAATGTTCTTTTTACCAGCACTGGTTCAAACTCTGTATTGTAATATGTACGAACAGTGATACTGGAAACACACCAATGCACGACTGCCTGGCCAGCATAGTGTATATGAAAAATAAAATGAGGTAACTGTTTGCTAAAATAGCCAAATATATTTTATGTTTTATTTTGATGTTTGTTCACAATTTTTAACCAAAAGCCAGTGTTTAAAGGTTTTAAATGTTTTCCAGAATTATTCATCCATAAGTAGACCACTGAATTCTTAACAAGCAATAAATAACAGGCACATTTTACTTGATAAAGTGGGACTAAACACCTAAACTCCCCCCACAACCTCATTTCAAACAGAGTAACGGCCTTGGGTATTATCTGGAGGACTAAATGGGAGAGGGAGGAGGGGTGGGGTCTAAACATATAAGGAACAGTGTGATTGGTTTAAGATATCCACATTTCAAACTCCACGCTCTTGCAATCAGAAATATCTGGCTGTAATCAGTTCTGGCAGTTCTGCGTGATGTTACGTAGTACTTGAAATTGCAGCAGTCACTAGCAAATTTTTTGAGTTTTTGACAGTTTTTGACCAGAAAGCTGCAAATATAGTTACGTTGCACTAATATTAGGGTTATAACCATATCCGAGTCTCACGATATGATATCGTCACGGTATGAACGTCACGGTACAAACCTCACGGTACGATATTTATTCCGATATCATGGGAAAGCTCATGATATGGTGGGTAGGCTCATGATTAGGGAGGTAACAATATCCAAATCTCTTACGATATTTATGCAATATTTCCACAATATACATTTCACGGTACAATATTTATTGCGATATTTTGTGGAGACTAACATATGTTAATTGTTGTTAATAATGTTAAATGTTAATGTTAATGTAAATTGTTAATATGCTTCTTTTTCCTCTTAAAATGCCTTGACAAGACTTAATCCAAAGAGCTACGACTTAAAAGTGCTTAGAACTGTTATTTCTTCTTGTAGTCTGCACTGAAACGGAGCAAAGGCTCATGGTCTATGTAGTTCCCTCTGTCTTTTTTTTAGCTTTTGCTGCACCATAACTCTTAATTTAAGCAAAGAAACTTGTGATTCAATATACTGTGATGGCCCAATGTGAGAACTTTGACAATACGATATCACAATATTTCGGTTATTGTTACATCCCTAACTAATATATCAAAAGAAATTACCATAAATGGTAGAGAATACTATTTAAAACTGCAGACTAATAGCAAAAGTAAGCTCATATAGTGTTTAGTTCCACTTTAAATGCTAAACGCCTATAATGTTGTGATGGTGTGATGTTGTGATGTGATCTAAAGCCCAGCAGATAAGAGAAACACGTACCTGTTTCCAGAGGAACTTGTCTTCCTGGTTGATTTGCCAGGTGCTGACCACATGAATGACGGATAGCACCGCCCCGCTCAGGACCGCCGCTCTCATCCGCACAGGCAGCAGAGTGTAGATGATGTAGATAAAAAACACTGACCACCAAATGCCCTCCGACGCACTCCTTGGCGCCACCATGAGGACACCAAAAACCTGCACTAGCACCAGTACGCCTATAACCAAGTAACTGACCATCCACATGTAGTCCTGGTGAAATCCGTTGCGGTTACACACGATCATTAGCGCCAAGAAAAGCGCCATCGCCACAGACAACGCCGACGAATAGGCCACGTGGGGAGGGGCGTGAACACAGTGGAAGGTTAGCATGATTCCGCACACGATCACCAAAACACCCATAAGCATTGTCAAGGAGCTCTGGTTGAGTCTGAAAAAGTAGCGCTGGTAAAGTCGTTCTAATTTCCGAGATTGGAACTTTTTGGATTGAAAAACGCGGACCACTCGTAACCAGCAGTCTGCAGCCGTAACTATACCGCCTCCGTTCGCTCCATCATCGCTAGTTTCGCCACTTTTTCGCCCTTTCAAATCTCCATCTTCGAAGCCTAAGTCCACCGATTTTAAGCCCACTCCTTCGCCGGATCTTTTGCCATAGTGGTCCTCTTGCCAGCCGCAGCGGACGCCAAAGTTGCCCCCTCCCATGGCGCCTGCCCCCCCTCCCCGGTGGTGGGGCTGGTGGAGGGGGGCAGTAGAAGGGGGCTCCATGGCATCGGGGTCCCGCAGACAGCTCATGTAACGCGGGTTGCAGAGAGACGAGCCTCCCTTCCGTTTGGACTTCTTGCCATTGCGCTCCCCCCACGCTGTTTTCCGATCATCAACTCTGGCAACTAGGAATCCACTGAACCAGGACATTCTGTGTGGGATTAAAAATAATCTGGTTAATTGGTTGTTTTCAAATTCTGCAATGGTCATGGTGTCTGTCTCACATACAGGGGCAACAGAAGGTATTCAGGTATTGATTTTTTTTTTTACATTTTTAAGAAGTAAATGTTCACCAAAATATGTCACTTAATATAAATAAAAGTGAAATTAAAACCATACCATTCATGAAGACTGATATGTTTCATGCAATACCATGGAATATTATAGCCAAAGAAACAACATTTCCATGGAAACAAACAGGAGGAGGCCCTCTTCGAAGTGAGAGTCAGGTTTATGGTGATGTACTGTATCTGGATGAATGTTTTTCTCTGTTTTTCAGTGCAATAAACATATCCACAATGAAAAAAACATGCATTTATTTTAGTCTATGTTTTGGCCAAAAGATTAAATGGAGGGACTTTAAAAGAGAATAAAAAGTACAGTAGAAGTTGATGAAATAACAAATAAGCGCAATAAAGTGTTTAAGAGGAATAGCAGTAATTATCTAAAGTGTATGTAGTATTTGGAAAGAAAATCCAAGAAAAAATCATTCTGAATTACATTATATTACATTAATAAATTCTGGTAGCTATTTTTACAATGACCTACTTGAGTAGTAGTAATACTAGTATACTGCTAGTAATATTGTGTTTAGATCAAAAGAAGACAATAAAGTAATAAAGTAATAAAGTCATAGTTCAATAGTCCAAATATAAACATTTGATTGTACAAATACAAAACAACAATATAACACACCATTTATAAAAAGAGGAACTTAAAATAACATTACCTGTTTTGGTTCTGGTACATGTCCCAGACCTGGTCCTTCCGCTCGGCTCACTCATTTATCCCAGCGGGTAGAGTTTATAGTCTGGAGGATTGTGAGGCCACACCGCAGGACAGCAGCGTGGAGAGGGGGCGGGAGCAGCTCCAGATGTCCACAGTGCTCACACGAGGGGCCGAAGGGGACCAGCCCTGTCTCCTGCCAGGCCTGAATCCAGGACCTCTGCTGCGTCTGGCAAGCACATGAAAGAACATTTAAATACAGATTAAACTATTTACAAGGTCAGATTTTAGACTTAGGTTTATAGTGAGAATAAATTTATTTGGCAGTTTTGTGACTACAATGGAAACTATGAACGAAACGCAAATGTGTTAAGTGTGTTTGCAAAGACATTTTAAGTAAGTGCACTATGTATAAGTATTGCAGGTGGAGAGTGTCCATGGAGTTGTTATTGCTTTGTTTGGAATGTTCCAGAGAGTGTCATTAAACATACAGTGTACAGTATAGCTGACATTTATTCAATTACATGTGTTTTTATTGCTCAAAATGGATTAGAAACACCTATCTGACTGGTAACTTATGGCTGGTGTCCATGTACTTCAATTTAATGCTTTACTGGGGAACATTCAAGGAAAAGCAATAACATAACCATGGAAACAAGCAGACACTACACCAAAAAAGTTACATAGTGCTTGTAATTGTAAATACACTTGTAATTTATTCTTTGTATTAAAGCAGTGTTTTCAAAAACTATAAGTACTTTCGGTTAAGAAAAGTATTAAATCATTCCTTCATGATTAAATCCACACAAAATTAGTTCAACAGATATTACCTCCACATTTGTAACAGTAACCTGTATTTGGAAATTGTACCATCACTGAGTCGACTGTTTGTGTAATTGAACCAAATCAGTTAAATCAATAATTCACATTGATTCACATTAACACTGTGTTACATAAACATACCTATGTGACCTACTTTAACAAACATTAGCATTTTAGCAGATTTTAGCAATGTTCAACAATATATCAATTGATATGTATGCTGTTATGTCTTCTTCATTAACGCTTAGCAGCATTTCTATACAAGAGTCAAGTAAAAAGTTGAAAATCTACTGCCATTAAATTGGTAGGTCACACAACTCTGTCTATCTCCTTTGTTGCTATGTTATGTGTGTTGTCTTTGTTCATCTCATCAATAAAATGTACACCTAAATATGTCAGATCCTAATGATGGATTATCCCATACTTCGACCACAGCTCTCCTTTTCTTAAGAAACCTGGTGCTGCCGGGAACAGATGCATAACATTTGACAGTAACTTGGTCAGATAACAGCGACTGCTCCCAGGCTCTGTTAAATATCACGATCAATGATGTGAGATCTGTAATAAATACAGATAAATGCCACAAACAACAGGACACTGTCAAAATAATTATCAAGAAGCTGAGTTATACAAACAGCATGACAGCTCTGGGCCCTGCAGCAACAGGTTTAGATAACAACTGAGAGGATCACTTCACTCAATTTTCATCTCAAAATGTAACATGCCAAGAAATAATGCAAAGAGAAATAATAATGGAGTACAAGTTCACTCTTTTGCAATAATTGGATAAAAGCCTATTAGTTAGTAGTCTTTTCTACTAAAGTTTTGTCACACTCAAATTTCAAATGTTATTTCGATACTAAGGAATAAAGTGAAAAAACAAACAAACTGTTAAATATTAGGCCTAGTACTTTTATATTGCCATGTGGCCTTATATCTGTGTAACGCGTCAGTTGTCCAGGTATGTTCCATAGTGGTCCATCGGCGTATACTAGTCTATGTGGTCTTATACTTGTTCCGACACAGCTCTAGATCATTCTAAAGCTGTTCAGGAAAGGTCCTGTGAATGTGACTTTTTTAGTACCGATGGGCTACTTGCTCAAATGAATATCAATATTAGTTTTTAGTTTTAAGGGTGTAGTGCATAGATTATCTGGTAGAGCATCCCTATGCTTGTCTCTTGGAGATGTTGTTTGTTATTGTTTTTACTAGAATGCTCCACTGTATGGCATTACACTTGTGTCTGTGTTTCCAGATTTGTGGAGAGGTGATGCCACTGGTAGTAAGAATGCATGTTTTTTGAGTGTTTTTCAAAATATAGACTACTAATTTAATAAATGCAATATAGATATATTTAATGCCATACTGTGGAACATCTAAGCAAAGCAACATCCTCATGAAAGCACACAAAGGGTGTACCTACACAAGAAAAATGACATTTGCAATTTTAACATTTCAGTGAAACAATATGTAGTCCATATAAAAATAACTACCTGTTTATTATTTATGTTTTCTAAAGCAACAAGTTGGTGACAAAAGGGAACATGTTTAGCTTAATGGTGGAAGGAAGTTTACAGCAGTTCCTAAAGACACAAAACACACGGGGAATATTCTGTGAGTCTGTCTATTGTCACATTTCCTGGTCTGTGTGAAACTCAATGTAAACTATTGCTGGTGCTGTGCTCTGCAGTTCTAGGGCGTAATAGGCATGAGGTTTTTATCCCCCATATCCACCTAATTATTAGTGTCCGAGCGGATATTTTTATAGCTACAGCTGTGCGTTTGTGGCATTTTCTAACATGCTATTTATACCGCTATAATCTCCTTACAGCGTGTCATGATGTAATATTGGACGAGACTGTGAGTTTTGGCCCATGCGCGCGGCCGAAATGTCCCCAAACGCGTGACTAAGTGCAACAATCTGATTTCACTGAGCCTTTTGCAGACACCAGAGGCAATGCGAGCGCGAGAGCAGCCGCCTCCTCGACCGGCAGCTCCACCGCGGAGAGAGCCATGCTGGGCTGGCGGAGGCAAAAATAGCATTTCCTCGCTGGATCTCGCTTGTCTTCTTTCTGGCACGCATCCGTATCCCTCGCTTCTATCCTCGACAAGGAGAACCAGAGCCCTCCTCCCTCTCCTCACCCCGTCCCCACCTGCTCCTCCCCGGCTGCGTCCCTCACTCCCCCCACACAAGGTCGAGCAGCTTGTACAGCCAGGCGCTGGCTCGGATGGTGCTCGCTCGGTTTCCCAGTAAGAGGGAGGAGTGCAGCTAAATGAGTGACGGAGAAGGTGGTGACTGATTCCTGAGGGACATTTTCAATCGGACAAATGCAACACTCCCAATACAGTCAACACTATATCTGGTGTGCAACGAGCGCAGATGCAGCTGTCTGCACCGCTTAAAGCCCATATTCCACACGACACTTAACACATGTGGGAATAATAGGACAGTGAAATAATACAGGGCAAATGCAATTAGCTGCACGCGATGTGCGCGCGTCTTTCCATCATGTACTGTGTTTGCGCTCTGGTGTAAAATTGCCACGCACAGGCCGTGAGAGGGCCCGCATTCAAACAGCGTAGGCTTCTTGTTACATAACACCGTGGCCTATGTGACAACCAGAGCTGGGACCATGAAACCATTCCGCTGCGTCCAGTGTAGCAGAGTCAATGCGCACAGCAAACCGCTGTCAGCAATTTAGTCTGCGTTTATTTCATTCTTCAGGATGCACCAAACAGAGATGAGAGCACGGACAGACATGCGACTGTGGCAAATAAACACAAATAAACACGAAACAGGCTTCACATTCCTGAAGATAAGAAAGAGCACAGAACGAGGGGTTTGTGTTTAGACGCAGTGCGCGTAAAAGTGGGCTACAGTGTATTATGGAATAACACGCAGAGTCCAAAGTTATGCCACTAATATTAGATGCTGGTGTGAATTGCATCCAAGCGCAAGCTGCTCCAGATCACTGAACATTTTCCTTTACACTGTGGACTGTTAGCGACATTTACGCACAGGACGCATCCTCTGGCCACACTGATGTTGTGGAAAACATGTCCTGGTCGTATCCTCCACAGCAGCAGCGGCACCGGCGTGAGGCAGAGGCCTGGCAGCAGCTGTCGCCCGCGCCGTCAGTCTCCGCCACGAGCCGTGAACTGACGGGAGAGTGGCAACCGCGTTTACAGCTCCACGCAACGGCGTACACAAGGTTCAGTGACAAGCACACATATATAATATATGTCGGCCTGCAGTGTGCAGCAGCACTTGAGTCAGAGAGGCTGGGACTCACCCGTGATCATGTTGTTTTTCCGATTGGCCGAAGGGAGCGCAGTGGACAATGCGGTTTGATGTAAAGTGTCTGGGCGGAGGAGCGTGCAGCCTGCCTGGGAATGGTCCGTGCACAGTGGTCACCCCGTGGGTCTCCTCCTGTCGTCTTCTCGCTCCACTCCCAAGCCTCTCCTCCCCCTGACCCTCTCGGCTCCAAGCACCACTCTCACAACGGAAGCGGCAAGTCAAAGTTACGCGTCTGCCTTTCCTTTCAAAGTTAAAGCATGAGGTGATTCAAATGAAATAATATATAATGTATAGCTCTCGGCCACGCTCGGTAAGGTGTAGCCTAAACAAAATGGCTAAGAAAATAGATATTGAACGATGCAATGCTAAGAGACTTGGGATATTAGGGACTTTATTAGGGACATTAAACGTTACCAGACAACTAGTCTACAGTTATCCGTTGAATTTACTGATTTATAGCCTCATAATATGCTGTGGATTTGTTTTACATTTTCAAGTCAAAAACACTCACCTCATGTCGTGGTCTTATTTTGAAAGAGGCTTCCTGTCCACTCTGCTCTAGTGCTCTGTGTGGAGCTTGATGCACTCACGTCTTTGCTTCTTTTGGAAAGTCGGTACTCCCCCTAGTGGACAAGATACAGGCCTACAGCAAAGAGATTTTTGTTTTCAAAATACAAGACATTGTACTATATATTTGTTGATACTATAGCCTATAAGATATAGCCTTATACATAGTGTATACATAGATATATCCTTTTACACAGAGCAGATTCTGCAGTAGAGTGACTGTGTTGCATGAGAGAAAAATAAAACCATTGAGTCTGTTTTACACAGTCAGTGAGTCAAAACATCTTTTCCATATGAATATTACGACTTTCTTCCGCCTAAAACATGTACATGATGCAAAATGCAGGTATAGTCTTCACCAAGCCTTGGTCTGAGTCTGTTACTCGCTGCTCCTGCTGAACTCTCCCAGCAGCACTGAAGGGTGTCAGAGGATGGACTTCCCCAAACAGACAATGACAATGACACCAAAGTAGTAGATACTTTCATCTGTGACATGTTAGTGTCATATGAACCATCTCGCACTCTGAGGACCTCAGGGACCGGCCTCCTGCTGGTGCCCAGAGTCAGAACTAAACAAGGGGAGTCAGCGTTTCAGGTTCATGCAGCTAAAACCTGGAACAGTCTTCCTGAACATGTGAGACAGACTCTTCTGTGATGCTGTTTAAATCCAGGCTCAAAACATTTCTGTTTAACTGTGCATATAACTGAAAGGTTTTCATTCCGCACTCTTCTCTCCAATTTATGTCTCTCTTTTTTAATTTTAATCTTCATGATTATTTATGTTTTTATTTGTTTTTATTATGATTTTAATGTATTTCTTATTCTGTAAAGCACTTTGAATTACTTTGTGTACGAATTGTGCTATACAAATAAACTTGCCTTGCCTTGCCTTAACGTGATCTCAAACACTTGAGGACTCACGCACTGTTACCCATTTATTACAATCAGCTTTCTGCACAGTTAGAATAGATGTGATGGTTTGTAATTGAAGAAACATTTTTATTTAGACAGGGACACTGCCATCTTGTGGAGGCATGGGTTCCAATGTCAAAATGTGTTATTGCCAACTTGTACATTTTATTTTGATCATTAAACACATACTTAAAATACCTACCTGTATTGGCCCTCGGCTTTTGACCAATCCTCAGATGTCGCCCAGACCCTGAACTATAGAAGTGGATGATTTATGATGATTTGCGCGTTTTGCGTTGATGGGGTAACTTGACTTGAGCACCCATTCAAACAAGGGGAGAACATAAAACTCCACTTAAAATGGCCTGCGGAGTTGACTGCTTCTACATAACTCCACAGAGAACCAATCCTAGGTTCACCATGTAACTTTTCTAGTGTTTTGTCTATCTTGCAGTAGGCTAATTCAATTAACCTACGGGTATTTTTATTACTCAAAAAACTTAAAAATGCATTCTTATTGGTAGTATCACCTCCTTGTTAAGCAGGTAGTGGACCCAGAACTAGAAAAGTTCCACAGTGCACCTTTTACTGTATGCAGGCAGGTACTCAAGTCTCTGCGGTGAAACTACCCTGGAGTGTTTTTTTTTTTTTTTTTTTTTTTTAACATTACCAAATTAAAATATGTTTACAATACAAAATCCAACCCAGTGCTGCTCCTCACACCCCCGCCGTACTGTTGGTCGGTACGTGGGCCTACGCTTGAGCCGATGACGCTTCAGTCTATACCGTCTCCTCCGTGCACCCGTGTTTTCCCCGCTCCCTTTACATTTCCCGACGCACGTACCAACGACGCTCTTTTCCTGGGAGCATCCTTTGATTCACGGACCCTGGACTAATCTGCGCGCTTTTCTTTCCCTTCATAACCTCTCGCCCCTGCACGTTACCGCTTCCGTCCTGAGGGTACTGCATATAAATGTATTTCGCATCCCTTGTTTGTTCATTGCTACCCATGTCTCCGCGCGCTCTCGATATATGGTGCAAGTCAAAATGTCCAAATCGCCCGTAGACCCTCTGTCGGCTGTGGAGACCGGCTCGCAATCGCATTATTTCCAGGTAAGTCCGCGTGCATAAGCGCTCAAAACATACATTAACGAACAAAGAGGTGTTTTTTTTTAGCTTTTAGATTCAGCTACCCGTTTGAATTACTACTTGTTGTTGACGTCGTTTTGTCGCGTTTTGGCATCGGCACTACTTTTTAAACCACCGCCTGCCGTCCACAAAACTGCAGATTTATAGCACGGTACTCAGCAGGTGGATGCAAGCATAGACTACAGGCTCCATTTCGGTATTTAGAGTCGCAGTGTGCACAAAATGACAAGCTCAAACGCGTGTTATTGTCTCAAAAACCCGGCCTATTTTGGCATTTTATTATTTATTTCAATACATCTCATGCTGCGGCTGTATACTGCATGGGCAAGCAGCTAGGTTGGAAGGATGACACACTGTTGACTGTATTGAGGCTACTGTAGCAGATATAGGCCCACCTGTAGACCCTTCAATGAAATCTTATATTGTGCATAGTTAAAATGGCCAGGCAGTTCATTTTATGGCTACTATTTTCCAATATAGGATAAAATACAAGGTTTGAAGTAGCACTTCACCAGGTTTTAAACACAGCTAAAGCAAGACTGAACATGTTAAAGCAGATTAAACACATTAAAGGGCCCATATTACACTATTTTCTGATCTATGTTATAATGTTGTTTCCTCATCACAAACATATCTGGAGTTGCACTTTGTTTCATTCGCTCATGTTTAACACACAAATCCTGCATATTTAGGTTATTTCTTGTAACCGAAAACACTCTGTTGCACCTGTCATGTCATAATACAGGATGTGCCCCACTTTTAAACTCCATGTACCTTCACTAGAATCATTAAAACAATTTCAGCCCTAAAATTGCCAGTCTCTGTTGAACTAAAGGTAAAAGGTAGCTCTTGAAAACTACTACTACATGACATCATAAGGTGGAACAGAGTGTTTTGAGGTTTGAAGATGTAGACAGATTAATAATAAAGGATAACTCCAGGTATGTTTTTGATGATGTAACAACATTCTAATATGGCTTAAAACTCACCTTTAGCAGTCAATTTCTAAACTCAAACTAAGCCAGAACTAAACAGGACTTAACAAAAACTAAAGTAGGCATAAATCGGGTTTAAACCAGGATTGATCTCGGTTTAAACCAAGACTTAACTCAGAATAAGCAAGGAAAAGCTTAAAGCAAATTTAAAAAGACTAAATTAACAAGCAATTTCTCAACTTTGAATGTACCAGAATTACACCAGAACTGAACAAAAACTAAATGAGGCATCAGGATTAAACCAAAGTTCAGCTCAGAACAGAACTAAACCAGGACTTAAATGTAATGAATAAGTATCTGTTTCTCTACCTGCATAGTAAACTAAAAAAGCTTTACAATTCAGTTCAATGCATTTTTTTTTAAATCAAATTCAAAAAGCACACGTATTACTAAACAAATAAGGATTCATCTGCATTTCTAAACATGTTTGGAGAGGTTTAACTTTTGAAAATAACTGAATAAAAGTCTAAGCTGTTTGTGTTAATGTCTTCTCCACAGCTGCCCAGGAAGCTGCCCAAAAGGAAAAGCCGCTTCAAACGCTCCGATGGCAGTACGTCCTCCGACACAACCTCCAGCTTCATCAAAAGACAGGTACAAACACAGGAAATATTTCAGATACTTAAATGAACACCACACTGGCCTCTTCATAGCCTGCAGACCATTTTCCTAAAGCATTTTCTAAAATTAATAACATACTAGTAAGAGTTTAAGAGTCACAAAAGAGGTTACCCAGCTTTGTGGTAACTAATGTCCCTAGTATAATGTACACTGAAAACTTAAATTTGTCAAAATGTTATAAAAAGTTAGCAGTCTGTACAGTTTCAGAAACATTTTAAATGAATTCTAGGTCTTGTGTTTTTCTTACTGCACAGCTGATTAGTCCCCTTTTCACTTTTGAGCCACATTTTAGTCCTGGTTTGAATCTATGTAATGCTTGTAGTTTTGTTGTAGTCCAGATCTAGTCCTGGTTTGTTCTGCTATAGACTTTATTGGTTCAAGTCCCGGTCTAGTTCTAGTTTAGTCCTTATATTCACAAGAAACAAAGTACAAAACCATTTGGTTCTGAAAGGATATAGGATTTATGAGGGCAACATAATTATTCTTTCATGAATTATGAATGTGTTGTGTTTTTAATATAGGTTTTGCATAGGCCTATAATGTCAGATATAGATTTGAATGTATATCATTGAGCATTGCCGTTATGATCCCCTATTATGTCTAATGGAATTCACTGAGAGCTGTCCTTGGTGCTGCATTGTTTCTTTAGTCCAGCAGAGGGTGCCACAGTGCTTATAAAAGACTTACATGTACTCACATTAGCATAGTTTATAGTTTAGACATTTTGAGTAAGGTTTGTGTTTAAAATAACAAATTTTTATTGACTTGGAAAATTGGGAAAGGGGGGGCATCTGGAGTAAAGTCATGCAAAATGGATATTTATTGTGCTAAGAATTATAAATAACTGGACATAGGAATAATGAGTGTCTGGAATTTGAAAAGACAATCCCCCCTGAAGAGAAATTTGTCAGCTTCTCGAAGTTCCACAATAACAACAACATAATATATATACAATATATACTTTAACATATTACAAAAATGTGTCTTTAAAGGTCCTATATTTAGCAAAATTGACTCTCGTGAGATTTTAGACCTGATAGAAAATTGTTACCTCATCAAAACATATCTGGAGTTGTAATTTGCTTAGTTCACACATGTTTGAGTAACCTTTTATTATTAGTCTATCTACATCTGCAAAGCTCAAAATGCTCTGTTCCACCTTGTGATGTCATGTAGTGGTAGTTTTAATTTTAACAGCTACCTTTTACTTTTTGTTCAGTAGAGACTGGCAATTTTGATCTGAAATTATCCAAATGATTCTAACAAAGGTGTATGGAGTTTAATAACAAAGTGAAGCACTTCCTGTATTATCACCATGACATCACAAGATGAAGTGTTTTCTGTTTGAGAGAAGAACTCAGCCGGATTTATGTGTTAAACATGTGTGAATGAAACAAAATTCAACTCTTGGTATGTTTATAATGATCAAACAACATTATAACATCGATCAGAAAATAGCCTAACTGGGGATTAGTTGAAGTTTATATATATATCAAGTGCAGAAATATCACTTGTCAACCTTTTATAAAGAATACAAGGTAAGTTTTTCCATTTTTAAACAGCTATTTAAGATTTCATCTTGTATAACAATAAATGACCTGCATTGAAAAGTTTGCATATTTTCAAAACTAAATTTATATAATCAATTATTCAATACGGTATTATTCAATACGATAGATTTCTATAGATTGTAAATACTATTACAATTAGAAAATACGCCACCCTGCTCTACGGTTTTATCTCTGAGATTCATTGGCTAAAGCCCCTCTTTTTCTGTGCATCAGATTTTAGCTCGGGGCGTTAGCAAGCTTAAGAAAAGAGCTGAGCCCACACTTCACCAGAAACACATTATTTATCCTCATACAGACTAATGACAGTGCTCGCATTCTCACAATGAGATTTCTGCCAATTAAATATTCATATGTGGCCTGGGGCAGTGTGCTGCTTAGAGCTCAATGATTTGGGCAAAATATTGAATTGCGATTTTTTTATGACAAGCATTGCGATTGTGATTAGACATGTGATTTATGTTTTAATAATAGGATTCCATTCATAGTGCACAATTTGTTTTGCGCTTACTGAGTCCTAGCTTGGTCCTGTTTTAGTCATGCTGTAGACCCTGTTTTAGTCCTGGTTTGGTGCTGTTTTAGTCCCTGTTTAGTCCTGGCTTATCTCTGATATAGTCCCACTATAGTATAGGAGGAATATTTGCATTTGAGAGAACTTTGAAATATGAACTGCTGAACTAATACTAAAATCCTATTTTCAGTACATAAAATAAAACAAGACACTTGACAAAAGAAATGATGTTAAATAATGGCAGCCTTTGTGATTTGCTGTTTGTGTCCATTCACATTTCTTTCCAATTGCCATGAATCTTGCAGTCAGGGTCATAGTTTATGGACTGACACTTGGTTGAATCTGGGGTAGACCTGGTTTAGTCTGGTTTTAGTCCTAGGTCAGATCGGATAAAGTCCTTCTGTAGGGTATGTGAATACCAGATCCTGAATTAATTCTCAGTGAATCCCGTTCTAGTTCTGGTTAAGATACTGTTCAGTCCTGTTATTCAGTGTCATGCTTATCAATAGTTTTTAGATTTTGTGTTGTTTCAGCAGTTCCCATTTATACCTGGTTTAGTACATGTTTAGTGCTCTTTCTTCTAGGTCTTGCTTAGTCTTAAATGAGATTTCATTTTAGTGGATGTTTGGTTGGATCATGTCTGGATTTAGTTCTAATCCAGTCCTGGTTCTGACCTGGTTTTGTCTTCTGAGTCATGTAGGTAGAAACTGATCAAAAACAAATTTCAAAGTTTGAAATTAAACTAATTTGAATCTCTAGTCCTTAAAATGTACCTTTATTTTGGTCTTAGTTTAGTCTCACAGTTTGACTAGTGAACAAATACATTTAATAGTGCACTATGTAACTTTTCTAGTGGAGAGTCCACCATCTGCTTGTTTCCTTGGAGATGCTATTGCTTTGCTTCGGATGTTCCACAGTACCATAAGTTTCACTTTAGATCTGTTGCAAGGCACGGCCGCTCCGGTAAGAATCACACATATTTGAGTAGCCCTTTATTATTAGTCTGTCTACATCTCCAAAGGTGAAAATGCTCTGTTCCACCTTATGATGTCACAGTAGTGGGAGTTTCAGCTACCTTTTACCTGTTGTTCAGTAGAGATTGCCAATTCCAGTGCTGAAATCATCCAAATGATTGTAGTGAAGGTATATGGAGTTTAAAAACACAGTGGAGTACTTCCTGTATCACCACGTAACATCACAAGGTGGAACAGAGGGTTATCTGTTTGAGAGAAGAACTCAGACAAAATATGCAGGATTTCTGTGTTAAACATGTGGGAATGTTATTTCAAAATCAAAGTCCAGGTTTGTTTTTGAAACAACATTACAACAAATCAGAAAATAGCGTATTATGGGACCTTTAACGTAATTCATACCACCAACATTGTTACTAAATATTGCATGTCTTAGTGACAGATTGGCAGCTCTGTAGTGTCCCTCTCATTTGGGAGGCTCCAGAGTTGATGGTTGGTGTGATAGGGTGGGGTGTCTATCGGAGGAGCACTGGAGTATGACTCATTTCTGCAGCACGATACAATAAGCTGTGCACTGCCATAAGTCTAGATGTATTTCACAGATAGAGCCCACCACATGCTTCCTTGGGATTAAAGAAACACAGGGAAGACATATTTAAGGCGGTATTGCTATATTTGAATATGCAATCGGATGAAGTCAACGATGTAAGGTGGATTTTCTGAAGGAATTGATGTCAGCTTGGATTGTTTTTGTAGCAGGATAGGATGAGTTGGGGTTGTAGCAGGGGGGTTTTGCTGGTGGCTCCGGTGAGGAATGGGACACGACATAACAGGTCTGCATTCAGCATGTAGCATACGGAGCAACACGGCCGCATCCAATTTATCAAGTAAGTAGCAAGGATTCAAACACACACACACATGTTCTTCTGTGTCTTCTTCTGTTCTTTGTATCAGCGAGGTTTCTATTTTTGGAAAGCCTTTGTCTCCCTAAGCTTTCCTCCAAACTAGGGCTGGATGATAAATAGACATTGTATTGAAATCGCAGTTTGAATGGTTGCTGCAGTTATTTTTCGTACTATAATGTCCTCTGCGGAGAGCTAAACATCTTCATGGGATCTTATCTTATTGTTAGACTGGACCTGCTCACCTTGTAGTTTAAGTGTTCTGAATGCATAGATTTCTTTGCATTAAATTAGCTTGTGTGAATGTTGCAGTATTGTTTTTAGGCATGCTTAAAGGGCCCATATTACGCTATTTTTTTATTTGATGTATGTTATTATGTTGTTTCCTCATCACAAACATACCTGGAGTTGTGTTTTGTTTCATTCCCATATTTTTCACACATAAATCCTGCATATTTAGGCTTTGTTCTTTTGTCAAACAGAAAGCACTCTATTCCACTGTGATGTTATGTGGTAATACAGGAACTGCTCCACTGTGTTTTTAAACTCCATATATCTTCACTAGAAACATTTGGAGTATGGAAGCCCTGGAATTGTCAGTCTCTATTGAACTGGAGATAAAAGGTAGCTGTTAACTTGAAAACTAAAACTTTGGAGATATAGACAGACTAATAATAAAGGATTACTACTCAAACAAGCGTGGGTGAAACAAAACACAACTCCAGGTATGTTTTGATGAGGTAACACATTCAAACATGGATTAAAGCTTTCATGAATCAACAAACTAACTAAATATTGCTATTGTAAAATGCATTGTAAATCTAATTGCAATCTTTGTCAGAAAAGTCACATGTCCTTCAGAAACTCTCAAACCTATTGCTGGTCTTGAACTTTTTCAAAGAAGTATGATTGTCATATGTTGAAAATAGCATCATACTTTATACATTTGATTACAATGTGTAGAGTTGCCACCAAAATCGATTTTATTTTATTTTATTTTTTTGAGCTTTGTTCCCTCATC